AAATAAAAAATTTAACAAGAAAGAAAAAAATAAATAAAATTTCACAAAAATAAATTATAACTATTTTGGTCTTTGCAGAAATTCAAAATTCGTATTGAAGATCCACCACGACGAAAAGATATGGTTTTCATTGGTGGTGCTGTGTTGGCTGAAGTGACAAAGGATCGCGATGGCTTTTGGATGTCGAAGCAAGAGTATCAAGAACAAGGACTCAAAGTATTACAGAAACTTACAAAGAGCACACAGTAGTAGCAAAGGCTAAAAGATTATGGAAAAAAATTAATATTGTTAGCATTCAAGTTATACCTACAGTCGTGTTTTGTACTATGTTTTTATAACTTGTAGTACCACAAATATGTATATTTAAGTTAAAAAATGACAAGACAGTACTGTTATCTATAAATTATTTTCAAACAGTCTATATTAACAACTGATTCTTATGAAAATGATTATTCCTCACACGCTTTTAACTTTCTAGTTTCTAACACTTTTTTTCAATTTTAAAATAAAATGGTAAACATTCGTTTTTTATGACTTGCTCGCCATTATTGCCGTAAGATACAAATATTATTTACATATACGCTTTGTGTAGGAAGGTAATTTCAAAAAATGCATTTAATTTTTGTGTGTGTAAGCAATGAAAAACCACTTTTAAATGTACTGTAAACTGTAAAAATCTTACTACTTCTATCCCATTGTATGCCAATTCTACTTAGCACGAAAACAAGTTTTCACTGTTGCTATAATTTAAAAGATAAAAAATGAAATATTTTTATTTAATCTAAGCTGATATTGGTTGTTTCTTAACTAATTGGAAAAAAAATCAAAAATAAATGGTAAGAGTTTTAATAACTAGTCGCTCAAGTAGATTTGATTTACACTGTACAAAATGTTGTACTATAAAGAAAAGTTGTTAATTTTTATTCTTAGATTGCCTATAAATCTTCCAGAATCCTTTATCGTTAGCAATACAACAATTTTTCACATTTCCATAAAAAAAAAACATAATATTAAAATGTTGCTTTTGCAAAAATTTTTATTTCGAGGCAGTAAATAAAGCAACAGCGGTTATACTGTTAGACAGAATTCTGCCGCTACCACAACAGCTGCTGTACTGCTAAACTTTGCATAATATAAACAATAATAATAAAAACTTATTAAATGAATTTTAGACTTTTTAAATAAACTTTCAATTGAAAATTTCCAAGAAATGCAAATATTAAGTAAATGCCCATGTGAATCATTATTGTCGAAATTTAAGTTTTAACGATCGTTTTTAAGGGGTCTTGGTCTTTTTCGGAAATAGTCACTTCACAATCACCCTTTAGCATATCGTACAGTTTCGTCTCGAATTTACGTAGAAAGCCGCGTTCGGAGTTGCTATGATTGCACAAGATCACAGAAACATTTTGATGACTTGCATCCAATAAATCGTGATGAGACATTTCGCCTGTTATATAAAGATCCGCCTCGAAGCCTTTAAGTACAGATGCACCAGAGCCAGCACAAACCGCCACGACAGTAATTGGTGTCTCTAGGTTATGATTTATACCCAATGACAAATGTACATCGAGACCAATGTGTCGCTGAACGCTAGCCACGGCCTGACTCAAAGTCACCGATGTAGTGAATGTACGTCCGGCGCCACCAAACTCACCACCCAAAGCATTAGGCTGAAAACATAAAAAAGAATTAATAATTTAAGTCGTTTAATAACTTCAATATTTGTTTATTTGAGCTGCCAGAAACCTTACACCAACATTAACATAAAAATATTCCACACAGTGTTTACATAATTCATTTTATTTATTTAGGTAAAATAGACTTTATCGAAAATACATATGAATACAATTAATAACCGCCACGTCCCGGTGGTGGGGCGCGCATCATGCCGGGTGGTGGTCCACGTAGTGGTGGGCCACCACGACCCATACCACCAGGCATTGGTGGCATCACGCCGGGCACCATACCGGGTAAGGGTGCACCAATCATGGGATTTCGTGGTACGCCTCTACCCATTGGTGTCATATGTTGTTGAGCTGGACCGCCTACACCTCGCACAGGTCCTTGTAAACCAGCCGGTGCCGAAGCAATATTAACYGGCACACCACGTCCAGCAGCACGTCCTAACCCAGGTCCAGCAACTGCACCGGGCATCGGCACACGCGGTAGTCCCTCCTCTGGTGGTGGTGGTCCTTCGACGGTCAATGAGACTATATTATCACCACGCAACAGCACGAAACCTAAAACACGCTTCTCTTCACGTTCCGGCACTTTGGAGTTTTTCGAACGAATTTTACGAAATTCTTCACAATCTCCAAGTATTAAATTCATGTGTTTGTCGAACGCTTTGAATGTGCCTATGAAAGTGCGCGAGTCTTGCAACATGATCCGCACCCTATAGTTAAGGTGCTGGATCATTTTATTGTTCTTTCCAATCGTCTGGAAATAGATAACATTGTAATTGCATGTATTTACAATTGATTTATATATAACTCACCATGGCTGCCTAATTATTTTAGAAATAGCAGCGAAAAACAAACGATTATCTGCCGAATTTTGGCGTTTTGTGAAAGATCTGTCATACACACCGCTTTAATGAAAATGTGCGGTGTTGCCAGTCGCAAGAAAAACTTATTTGCACAAAACCATTCAATCAGAGTTGCAACAGCGACGGTGCTGCCGTACATATTGATTCTTTTACTAATTTGGAAAAGCTTCTTTGCATAAATATTTGTAAGGTAATGATTAATTTTTTATAACTTTTTTGTTTATTCTACGTTTTCTTACTAGCACTAGATTTAAATTTTGTACTTGAGGTAGCTTTTGCACCAGACAAATTTAGACGAATACATATAATATAGGTATTAAGGACAAGGGAGTCCGATAACTACTAAGTCGGGCTACTATTGCAAGAAAAATAACCGCTAATCCCTTCTCTTGACTCTGTTTAAGAAGGCAAAGACTGTCCCAACGGCCGGAAATATGTTGCTATTTATGAAGTATACATTGACTATTTGAAACGAATGTGCTTCTACTATGACAATATGTCGCCTACTACCTTCAAATTGATCGAAATATCCTACGAACTGTTACTTAATCCCCTGTTTTCTCCAGATATGGTCCCGTACGCTACATATAGCTTAACCTATAGTTATTTCACAGCAGTATTTGACTTTGTTTAAACGCACTCCTAACTAGTTTCGAGGTCATTTCGTGGTCGTCGTCAATACAAGAATTCAGTGGAGCACACCAAAGATTAATAAATAATTGAAACAGTGGACTTCCTTAGGCGAATCTGCATCGAAGAAGGCGAAAACTGTCCCATCGGCCGGAAAGGTGACGGGATTCACAATGTGCCGCCTCGTACCTCCAAATTGACCGAAATAGGCTATGAACTCTTACTTCATTCACCGTATTCTCCATATGTGGTCCCGTGCGACTTCCTTTTGTTTCCGAACTTCAAAAGTCACTAGCAGCCAGAAGCTTCAGTTGAGTGTAGCGAGGAGGTTATTTCTGCTTTAGAGGACTACCTTCAGATCACCTTAAAATGTACTTATCAGAAGGGTTAATGAAGTTGGACCACTGTTCGGTCAAGAGTATAGTTTTAAAAAGCTATTTTGGGAAATCGTCATCTTACAAAATTTTCATTGCTCCATCATGGCTAAGTACTTATTGGATCAACTTGTGATTAGATTCCTTATGACAGTAAACAGCTCTAAATAAAATTCCACGCAGAGCTGACGGTTGTAGCAGCATACTCGCATACCTCGAATACTTTTTAAGATTGCTGCCGAATTTCCAATTCTTGTTCGGTTAAAAAAAAGGGTCCATTCCGGTTACATGCCAACGATTGTCGTTGGAGGGGTTTCAAAGCTCATCATTTCAAGGTACGTTCAACTCCAAAAATTAACAACAACAATTAAGTATTATTTAAATAACAACAACAATCATCGGAATGACAATAACATATAAGAACTGTTGATATGACCCCGTCCTTGCCAGGAGGACATTGAGAAGTACTAGTTAGGGGATCGCACTACTCCGCGGGGCTTGGGTTCAATAATAGTTCCTCTTAACATAAAAAATTGTTTCCAACTACGGTTACGTCGAAGATCAAAAGTATATGTCAATGTCTACCGAGACATGTTTTCCTTTTGAAGTTGTGATATTTTTAAGAGAAAACAATGAGCATTTCCGGTTGTTTGTCCGCAAATTCGAAGGAGATTTTTATTATTCAGTTTCCTTTGTTTACTGTGCTCAATTTTTTGTACACAAACTTTAAAAAACAAGCCGAATAGCCGGCGACATGAGTAACCCTCGTACTCAAGTACGAAAATAACTCACGATGAACAATCGGTAGCAATCCGTGTAAGTGTGTCCATACGTAGAATTGATAAAATAGTGCAATAAATTATTTAAAAATTAATCTAGGCGATAAATTCATTTACATACAGACACCTGCATCCACGAATGTATAGAATTTTGGATGCATGTAACATACTGTATAGACAAAAATAACGTGACATGTTTACACTTGCTACTATCTTCTAAGTAGACGCGATACTTAAAGAAACGTGGTTATCTTTGGAACCAGACATGGGCGTCCGAACGTTTTAGCTTAGGTTTTAGAGCAACTAATTTTATGGATTTCTAGATTTGCACTATTAAAAGTGAGCTTTATAGAATGTTCAAATCGTCTTACCATTAACGGATTTTCAAGCGTAGTTTTTTAGGTTATGAACGGCATTTGATACCTTGGGAACACCATATTCTCTAGACAAAATTGAGTCTTAATAATTTTGTTTGATATCTCATGTGATCTACACATAAGAACTGTTAATGTCCCTCGGTTTCCGAATGCGATTCAATGTATCAGGAAACCCTCTATTCACGAACAAAACCGAATAAGATTGAGATATATAGTGGAAATAAGAGTTACGCTCTTTTAAAAAGTTCTTTAATGTTTCAACCCAACTGTACTAGAGGGAGGTGACATTTTTCCGTGGAAACTTTTTAAAGAAGTCAGTGACTCATTTTAAGACGACACACGCCTATGCGACGTCACAACAACTGCGAAAACTATTCCAAGTATTCGGCAATGATAAAGAAAAGACTTAATCCCACGCTAATAAATAGAAAAAACGCGATGGAATAACACTTCTTCAACAAATCGCTGCGTATCAGTCAAAGCCTAATCTATCGCCGTAGCCGATTAGAGTGGGGAACATTTAGCCATCAAGGCCCCTCTTGCAGATATTTATTGACAAGCCACGCATGTCATATATAAGCCAGTTTATGTACATACATACATTTATACAAAAAAGTTCAATGGTTCTTAGGATTTTGACGCTCGATAAGGTATAGAAAACGTCTGCGGTTATGGTGAGAGCTCATTTCGAAGTGAAAACAACATGAAACCGGTCGCTACTTTTAACTGCGCACGACTGATATTTATGGTCGTTATTTGTTTGACTTATGGCGAGGTTCAAGGACAATATGGACAAGTTGCTGGCGCGTGGAATATTACCTACCAGAATGGTGGCAACGAGCAACAGCTAACCATTTCCAATGACATACAGTACGTAAATTTAGTAATACTCAATGTGGACCTTACTACAGGAGCAGACTTTTATTTCGAAGTGCACGCTAGCGACCCGAAATTAGCGTCAATCGAAAAACGCATTGAACGAAGTGAGTTAACGGGTACGCCAGCTTCATGGCAGGGCTCTGTGCCGGTACAAACGCGGCACTTTGGTTTTACAAGTATTTATGTGACACTAAACAGAAGTGACGGCGCTAGCGTGGAACGTTCTCCCGTCGACCTAACGCTTATCATAGCGCGCAGAGACCGTTTAGATGAGAAAATTTTCGCTTATACCGCCTCGGCGCTCTTGTTGTTGATGTTTCTGAATTTGGGTGGCGTGTTGGATTTGGAACGTTTGAAGGCGATTCTGTTGCGACCGATTGCTGTGACCATCGGATTTTGTACTAGTTATATTTTAATGCCAGTACTGGCTATTGCCATCGGCTACTGTTTCCTGGCCAAACATCAAGAGCTGCATTTGGCGCTATTTTTCACAGCACTGTCGCCCAGCGGCGGTTTGGCGAATATTTGTGCGATTTTCCTCAAAGGTAATGTTAATCTCTCGATTGCCACGACAACGATCAACAGTCTTATGTCGTTGGCGATATTTCCGCTGTGGATACTTATTCTGGTGCGAACAATCTTCACAAACACCGAACTGGATGTGCCGTTTTTGGATCTTGCCGGCAGCGCTTTAGCATTGGTCTGCGCCATCGCTTTGGGTATGCTGTCGCGCGTTTTCTTACCGAAGACGACAGCATATATTTTCCGATTCCTCAAACCGTTCTGTGCGTGCGTCAGTTTGGGTCTAATTGCCATGACGGTGGTCATAAATGCGTTTGCGTTCAAAGAACTAACCGGAATGGTAAGCATACAATAAGATACTTAATGAAGTTATTTGATTTCTAATAAATTGGCTTATTTTTGCAGATTTACTTAGCGGCTCTCTTCTTGCCCATATGTGGTTATTTTCTCTCTTATGGCATTGCAAAGCTGTTACGCTGTTCCGCCGCAGACGCGCTAACAATCTCCGTCGAGACGAGTGTCCTAAATATGACCGTGCCCATTATGTTGCTGCAACATTGCTTCGACGAAGTGAGAGCCGACATGACGCTTATCGTGCCAATTACGGCTGCTCTCAATTCTTTGGCAATGATGATTGTCATTTATACCGTACGTCGAATATTCGGTTGGAATAAGAACCTTGATGGTGATGCTTTTGCTTCCAAAGTGGAGCTCATAAGTTTCGACGAAAATATTAAAGAGGAAGTCATTGTTTCGCATATATCATATAAAAACGAGAAAAGCGCATTATAACAGTAAAAAAGTTAGACCATATATTTTTTAGAATCTTATGAAATCAATTTACGCATCGAAATTTTTATTTATACAAACGAAGCTTGCAATAACTTGTGAGTTCAAAATTTGCGATTGGATTTCCGTTCTTTGTGAAGCAATCGACTCACCCTAATGAACGGCAATTCAACGCAAAAAATGTCGAGAGTTGTCTGAGTTGAATCGACGTAAAAGAGGCCCAGACAGTTTGAGGCAATATTTATAACATTAAATTAACATAGATACGAGTTATTTAATTATAGCTGTTAATTGGTATATAATTTAAGTATCGATACTCGACCCCATAACAGCAAAATCAATTTCAATTTCTATAAAGTGTTTACTCTTAAGTAGTGAAAAAATTAAAATAAAAGAGAAATAATAACAAATTAAACATATATATTTTATATACATTGTGACAAAAAAGTGCGTACATTATTTCGCCTTCCAACTAATCTCCATCAAGTGTAATGCACTTATGCCAACGAAACACTTATCATAAGCTCGTTTTGGGATGACCCTCAGCTTCTTCGGCAAATTTCATTTTACAAATCTCTTTGTCTGTCTGAAAACGGGTTCGACGGAGCGCAAATTTCAGTTTGGGGAATAAGAAAAAGTCACACGGAGCCAAATCTGGTGAATACGGTAGTTGATCGATGGTATTTATTACATTTTTGGCTTTAAATTCAGTCAAAATTGTGGCTTGATGCGATGGTGCATTATCGTCGTGTAAAATCCATGAATGGTTTTTCCACAATTCCAGCCGTTTTCGACCGATGTTCTCACGAAAACACCTCAATACGGCCAAATACGTATATAGAAAAAAAAAAAAAAAAACAATGAGCATCGCTTTGATTTTTGAGCGGCTTTGGCATGTTTTTTTGTTTTGAATTGGGCTAGTTTTTCCCATTTTTCCCCGATGATTGTTGTTTTGTTTGCATGTCAAACTCATAAATACATATCTCATCGGCAGTTATAATGCCCTACATGAATGTGAGATCAGAAATCGCACGATCAAGCATGCCCAAAGGGACCTGTTTGCCTTCCTCTTTAAAAAAAAAATTCAGCTTTATCGGAACGAGTCGAGCAAGAACTTGTTTTATACCCAAAATATCTATTATAATCATTCAAACGGACTCGCAAGAGATTTCGAGCTCTCTTGCTATCTCTCTAACACTTGCCGGACGACTTTCAAGTACTATATCCTTTAGGAGGCATATCTTCAACGATTTGATTATAAATACAAAAATTTGATACAAATTATTTTTTCGATATTTAAATTCATTGTCATCGCAACACACTACTGAGGTATACCGACTTAAGCAGCAGCGGCATATTTTACAGTACTACTACGATAAAGGCAAAAATGCATCTCAAGCCGCCAAAAAATTTGTGCAGTTTATGGACCCGATACAGTTTCCATTTCCACCGCACAACGATGGTTTCAACGTTTTCGTTCTGGTGTAGAAGTGGTCGAAGATGCGCCACGCTCTGGAAGGACCGTCAAAAATTGCGATAAAATCGCTGAATTGGTCGAAAGAGACCATAGCATAGAGCATAGTAGCAGCGGTTGCTTCGGTCAAGAGCTGGGCATGAGTCATCAAGCCGTTATAAAAATTAAAAAAAAAATACCGCAAGACTTTTTCGACAACCAATATAATGACCTACTTTTTTAAAATTATTTATTGGTATACAGGGTTCTTATCTCGAGTTATCTAATTTAAAGTAAAATAAAGTGAAGAAAATAAAAATGAGGATGTTAAAACCACATTTGTATACTAACGGATGATCCAAATAGCGGTACTTTTTTCATTAGCCGGGCTCTTGAAAAGTTTCAAGAAAATCTGTCCATTTCGAGCCAAATTTTGTTCAGCGATGAGACCCATTCTGGCCCAATCTGTATGTAAACAAGCCGCATTTGGGACGACAAGCAATTGAAGAGATTCAAGAGCTGTCATTTTTTCTAGAAAAAATTGTGTGGCGGTGGAATCATCGGTCTATTTTTATTCAAAAATGACACCAGTGATAACCGTAACCGTCAATGCGACCGTTATCTCGCCATGGTAACCGACTTTTAGATGCCTGAAATTGAAGCTCGTAATCTCTGCTTCATTTAGTTTCAACAAGAGGCCGGCACCTCTCACACATTATATCAATCAATGGATTTATTGAGAGAACACTTCGGTGAACAGGTAATTGTACGTTTGGTCGAAATGCTCGAACGATGCATGGAAAATTGGACCCAACGGATAGACCATCTGAGACGTAGCCGCGGCCAACTTTTGAAAGAAATAATCTTCAAAAAATAAATGCGAAAAAATCTTCTTTCGAATAATAATAAACAATCCTTTTTAAATTTGAAGTTTCCGGGTTTTTTCTTTAAAAAAGTAGGGAACTTCGAAATTATTATTTTGAACTGTGAGTCTACTTAATATCTTTACTGTAAAATTTTGCAGTTTTGGAAATATTCTTGCAACTTATAGCAGGTGGGCGTTGGTGATAAAATTTGGTAAAGACTTTAACAGAAGTTAGTCAGTATTTATATCTAACCAAGAATAAAAAATTTCAGCACAAATATACCAGGGGACTAGTTTCTAATGATTACGTTGCTGTTATGATTCTTGTTATATATTGTAAAGAATTTAGTGCATTAGAGCTAAGTGCTATCCCTCGTACAAATTACATAAAGCCAACATATTGTAGCAATAATATTAAAGTAATTGAGATCTAAAACTTGTGTTTTCAGTAGAAATGTTAAAAGTAGGTGTGATCATGTTCACACTGCCAGTATAAGTGCTAGCGTAGAAAATATTTGTCACATTTGTTAGTGACAATGAAAACAATGCAGTAGTTCCTGCTTAATTGATATTGCTGATTCTTAGCTCTAATAGCTGAATTCGCGATTTTCGCTTCCTAAAAACTTGAAAACTGGCAAATCGAACGAGCAAATGCTTTATGCCAGTAGCTAAATAGAGTGAGAGAGAGGAAGGGGGGGAAACAGTAGAAAAGACAACTCTATTGTTGCTATAAAATTTGAGAAGTGGCGAATCGAACTGTTCTACACATTATCGCATATTTTTGTAGACATTTTAATTTATTAACCCACACTAGCCACATTAAAAGGGTAAACAACAATTATAGATTTAATAAATTAACATTTTAGTACTGTGAACGACATTTTAATATTATTGTTAAATCATGAAATTTACATAAACCTGAGAGTATTTACATATGTATATGAGAAATATTTATTTAACTCTTAAAAGGTTGCTTAACTTTATACTAGTTAACCGGTGTATTCTGTACATTAGTTCCGTGAATTGGAAGCATATGTATATGCAAATGAGAAAATCTAAAGGAAATGCATTTAAAATAATTATAAAAAGTTTCTACGAAATAAATTAACATGCTTAATAGTAATTACTATTTGTTTACATTTCTCGCTTCTAATATGAGCTTCAAATAGAAGGGTTGGTGTAATATGGTAATATTACTGTTCATGGGAATCAATATGTGCATCATCTGATCAAATTTCATCCGGCCTAATAAACAATAAACAAATTGTTGTGTCTTTGACAGCTGCTTGCTTACGACGCGAAAAGTTTGACTGGCGATTTTTATCTTGAAAAAAAAAATGTAACGAGTTGGCTTAAAATTTCGTGTTGCTAATAAAAATCAAAGCGACTGTTTCGTTGAAAATGTTGAATTAGTGTTTTGGGGAGTCTATTTTAGCATGAACACAAGTATTTGACTTGCACAAAGCATTCGGAGACGATAAAGAAGTCAGCCATCAAAAATTGCCTCACGTGAGTCATTCAACCACGTTGCCTGATTTTGATAACATTGAAAACGGTAAAAAAAATATAGCTTCAAAATCGTCGTGTTGGCTTGAGAGAGATATCGGAGCATCTCAACAGCTCTTTTTGATCAACTCATCTAATTTGGTTTATGTAAATGTTAGGCTCATACTAAAAGACCTGAAAATTATTAAAAGAACGACGTCGAAGATACGTAAGTCGCGATGGGTCTATGAATATTTCGTCGAAACTACCTAAAAATCTAGCGAATGGCGCTCCAACAATTAACGAAAATCCAAAAAAAAAACTCCTGAAGGCGTTGAAGGTCATCCCAGCCGAAGCTTATACAAGTGTATAGAGAATTAGTTTACGTTATGGGCTGCTTATATTGGTTAAAAAGTTTATTTGAAAGCAGATAATAAAAATATAACTCTTTGCTTGCCAGTCCGGGTCAAGTTTGATCAGATCATATGCTACCAAAAATGCACGCAGCAGCACTTGGAAGCGACTTTAAAATAATTTTCGGTAAATTTAAAACGGAAAATAATGAAACTTTCAATTATGAGTATGAATTTTTCCGTAGTTAGGTCAGAAAAGTAAATTGCGACCCTCGCACATAGAACTTACATGCATGTTAATGAGGGATAGGATAAAAGTTCGATACTTATTGCTTAGAAATTACTTCATTAACCGGTTTACAAAGCAAATGGTAAAAGGAAATATGAACCAACTGAGAAAAAGTGAAATAAAAACAAGAAAAAAAACGTTAACTTTAAAGAAACTATAATACCCTTCACAAGTACCGAAGGTTATTAACAAGAACTTCATTTTGATCACTCAGTTTGGCATGTATCAGCATGGCAAGAATTCTACAAGGATTGCATTATTGCTGTAGACAATAACCCGTCTCGTATTTCGTGAAGGCGAACATGGCTAAATCGACTTAGCTCGTCATGCTGCTCATTTATATTTGTATTTTATAGGGTCCCACACGTTTCCTGCTGGTAAACTCAATATACCCGGTTCTGTGTATAATTATGGAAAGATAGTAATTGCCTAAACTTAAAACTTGTCAACATTTTTTTTATACTCATAAAATATCTTTGGTGCGTCTCTCCTCTAATACATTTTTTAGTTGTGTGACGTGAAATGTACTTCGTTTAGATTTCAAACATTCCGAGAAAGAAATGAATTTGAATTTATTGAGCTTCTCCCGCACCCCTTAAAAGCTTTTGCGCTATAAAAACAAACATGTGTCTATTTGCACTTCAATTCAAAGGTGTAAAAATATATAATAAAGTTGAGGGGAAAAAATAGTGAGCTTTTTTATTATTATCAGCTGGTGCATAAACTTGATTAATTTATAAAATAGCTAGTTTGGCTTATCTACGAGGTGCACATGGGACATAAGTATGCAATAAATACGCCTCCTAGGAAAGTTAGAGCTATAGTACTATACATCACTACTTTTGGTGATAAAATTACTAAAAGAGACGGGGTGGTCAATATTAATATTGACTGGTTCGTAATCTTATAACGTGATTTCTTATAAATTGTATCAGGCCGGTGGGAATGTCTGAGCCGTTTCAGAGAAAATCATATTTTTTTGTCTAATTTCGAATTGATTAATTGACAGAGGTACAAAGAGGGACGAATTTGACGATCTTTCAATTTTCCGGCGCCATTTTGGTATTACAATTTATCTATTGTTTCAAAATAGATTTCAGTCTCTATGACTAACCTAACATTGTTACTAAATTTCCTTCCAGTTTCTTCTTTTGAGTTCTGAGGACAGGAAAATCTGCTGAAAACAGATTGCAGAAACAGTTCAAAGGATAATTCATGCAGTTTTGTATCTCTTCTTATACGGCGATCCGGTTAATATATGAGCCAGAGCTGCATGCACCTTAAGTAGAGCTCTCGCATACCTAAATATTCCTAAGCAAGAAGATATTAATATGAATTAAATATTTTTAGAGAAATATCCAAACATATTTCCCACAATTGTCAATTGTTTTTTTTTTCTGTTATAGCCACTTTTGGACATCCAGCCAAAGACCATTGGTCGTATGGTCTGTACGGCATTTTGGAAACCTATTATATATGGCTTTTTGCTGGCTGGGGCAGAGTTCAACCTGTAATTAATACGCGGTGACTTAGTAAATAGTTTGCAATTAGCAACGGAAAATATCTAGTCTTAGTAGAATAAGTATGCGATGATGTAAACTGTACTATATAAGGCATATACATATTTCATAGAATTCTAAATGCGTACCAACTGGGATAACTTTCACCAAGTTTTATTATAAACAAAAATGTGATAAATTTTAATATTTATTTCCATTAAGCTTTCTTTACAAACACACACAAATACATACATGCACTTTTGCGAAAATTAAGTTGAGCTTTACTTTATTGCAGATTTTATTAAAATAGAAAACTTACAGGTTTGATATACAATTGCAAAAATGCACTGAGCGCGGCGTTGTCTGGTTCTGCTCACGAGATACAGATCTAGTTACATTCAAATTAAGTAAATGAAAGGCATTTATAGTGTCGACAGAAGTAACGAAGTTGAATTCGTGCGTAAAAATTGTGATACTTTTTTTTATTTCTTTTTTTCGTAGTGGGAAAATATAAATAAAATTGTGGACATTATTGCATAACATGAAAAATTTAATATAAAATAAAAAAAGGGACATGTTGAAGTGAAGTAAAAAATAAAGTACGTAAAATGTGTTTTCGTTCGAAACTTAGAAATAATTGTAAAGTATAGGTTGTCAAAAAAGTCTTGCGGTATTTTCGCTAGTTGGCGCTGAGAGCGCGTAGTTCTAGTTTTATTCGTCGCATCGGGTCATGCTTTACCTTTTTGGAAAGCTAACACGTATTTGATTGATTAAGTCGTTCGTGAGTTATAGCGTCGCAAACATTTAGCAAAATAAAGAGAAAATACGGCATATTTTACAGTACTACTACGATAAAGGCAAAAATGCTAGATGTGTATAAGAGACAGGTTTATGGACCCGATACAGTTTCCATTTCCACYGCACAACGATGGTTTCAACGTTTTCGTTCTGGTGTAGAGGTGGTCGAAGATGCGCCACGCTCCGGAAGGCCTGTCGTCGAAAATTGCGATAAAATCGCTGAATTGGTCGAAAGAGACCGGCATCGGCCAAGAGCTGGGCATAAGTCACCAAAAAAAATTTTATGAACAATTGAAAATTCAATAAAAATACCGCAAGAAATACCGCTTTTTTGACAACCAATATGATCAAATTTGACCCGGATAATTTGAATTGATATTTTTTCCCCAAAAATTTAATATGGGAGTGAAGTTTGATCTCCATATGTCAATTAGAGTTTGGCTGACAGCTGTTTGTTGGAATCGTTGAAAATATCGCCAAAGCGCTTCGGAGAGTTTACTTTATGGCACAAAGCTCCGAGGCACGGTTGTATTGACTCAGGTGCATATTTTGAAGGTTATAGTGAAGATTTGTGTTAAAACACGTGAAAATTTAGTTTTTTCCAGTCCGGGTCAAATTTGATCATAGGATGCATTAAGTTACAAATGAATTATAATGTTTGAAAAATGTTTTTTTTTTTTACTAAAAAAAGGGTTAAGATTTTGTGTTTTTAATTGAATCACGGCTACTGAAGCCGTGAAAGTGTCGCAGCAGCTTTTTGGAAAGCTTACTTTATGACGAAAACAAGTATTTGAGTCGCACAAAGCCACTTCTAACAAGGTCGGATATTTTGAAGGCCATAGTAAAGACTTGTCTTAAAAGAAGTGAAAATGTAGTTTTTTGCCGGTCCGGGTCAAATTTGATCAGATGATAGAATAAGTTACAAATTAATTACAAAGTTAGAAAAGTATTTTTTTAAAGTAAAGAAGAAAGGGTTAAGATTTTCGCCGTATAGGAGCTTTAGTCAAATGATTTTGTGATTTTTGAAGATAGTGCAATCGTGTTTTGATAAGTTTCTGTGTTATTGAACTTATTTTTGCAACTAATAAGCAATAGTGATTGTAATATTGTTTATGAATGTTGTTTAATGATAAGACTAAGTAGACGAGATTATTTGATAAGCATTATCAATTAATTTAAATTAGTTGAGAGTGACAATGAAACCGTTAACATTAATAAAGGCTAAGGCAAAGAGAACTAAAACGTTTTTAAGTTTGAGAGTCAAGAGGAAAACGAATTTTTTAGTTGAAAAAAAAAATATAATTAAAAGTTAATTATTACTGGAGCTAAAATTTATACTCGTAACACCTTATCTTCAGAACAAATTTGCAAAATCATGCTGATAAAAAACTAAACTCTGATACTTATCCAGGAAAAATTCAAAACAGAGTGCTATAAATATTTGAATACAACCGCGCACTTTGGTACGAGTATAACGGTAAATGTATTTGTGAGTGTTTATAAACTAAGAGCCAATTGGTAGCTTAAATCGGCGAAGCTGTCGGTAAAAGTTATCGGAAAAAGTTAAACCACAACAATGATTAAATAATCCACACATACATATAAATACATACAAGAAGGTGGTTGTGGTCGGCGTGCCGACTACAAGAATCAACGGTACTATAATTTGAATTGATCAATTAACAGGTTATTCCATAAGCGATCTTGCGACGGTGAACACTTGCATCGCGCTTTCTGCGTTGGCGTACACGCGAAAAACCGAAATTATTTATGCAAAAACAACAACAACAATAAACAAAAGTGAAAATGCACTACTGGCCGGGTTATGTGGTGTTGGCCATAATCAGCGCGGCGCATGCTGTCAGCGGCGCCGTGAACACAGTTGATACAGATCACTTGCAGCCACCACTATGGGCTGTGCAATTTGAATACGAACAGTTAAATATGACAATGCGACAAGCGCAAAAAGTTTCGTTCGTTATCACGGCCGTTGAACCGGGTTTGGGAAGTGATTTCGAATTTCGTGTGTTGAATGATAACGGCGATGTCGCCTATATAGACGAAGTGATGACGGTGTTAAGCAATGCAAAAGGCGTTGCAAAGGTCAAAGGTAATTTCACTTTGCATGCGACGCTGCTAGGTTATACGCACGTTTATGTGGAGCTGCGACGCGCTGGCTATGAAACGCAACACTCAGCGGAGATTTTAAGAGTTATTGTGACACGTTCCTTGAATTTGGCCGATATCATTTTCAATATTTCGATTGCCTGCTTTGTGATGGTGATTTATGTGAACTTCGGCGCCGTTTTGGATTTGGAGGATCTGAAGCGCATAGTTATACGGCCCGTTGGACCGGCGATCGGCTTGTTTTGCCAATTTTTGGTGATGCCTGTGCTCAGCTTTGTCATCGGTTACTTTCTCTTTCGCGAAATGATCGAATTGCGTTTGGGCTTGTTCTTTTTGGGCGTGTCTCCAGCGGGCGGTTCGTCGAATATATTCGCCGTGCTGTTAAACGGTAATCTCAGCTTGTCCATCACAATGACCGCTATTAGCAATTTAGCGGCATTCGGCATGATGCCGTTATGGATCTTTACATTGGGCGCTTTGATATTCCGCGATGGAAACTTTGCGATTCCCTATAAATCGATAGCCTCGGTCTCTTGCACTTTGGTGGTGCCCATCGCCATCGGCATTATGCTGCAGAAGTATGCACCGGAGGTGACTAAAAAGATGTCCAAGCTGCTCAAACCCATTTCATTGGTGCTCATATTGGCAATAACGATTTTCGGCTGTGTGCTCAATTCGTATATGTGGAAACTGTTCACAACGAAGGTAAGGGAATTGTTGATTGTTTTTCAACACACATATTATATATATACTATAAATATATATTTCAAATCATACATGTATATATTCCATAGATTCTCATCGGCAGCTGCATTTTGCCATGGTTGGGCTATGTTATTGGCTGGCTTATAGCTACAGTTTTGCGTCAGCCACCTAAAGACGCCATTACCATTGCCATTGAGACCGGCATACAGAATATTGGCATTGCGATTTTCATGTTGAACTTCACATTGCCACAGCCGCAGGCTGATATGACGAGTGCTGTGCCAATGGCCAATTCTATGGTGACGCCACTGCCTCTGCTACTAATCTATTTTCTGAAACTGTGCTTTTGTCGCAAGCGTGAGAAATCAGTGGATGCCGAAGCGAACGCAAAGGAAGCTAAAGAAAGTGAGCTGGTCACTTTTATGGAGAATGAGATGGAGAAAGCGAGTTCAAAGTATCCTCAGTGAAATTTTAGTTTAATTGGTTGTTATTGCCATTGTTACTAACTTGTTGTAAAGTTTTTAAAGTTGTTGCATTTATTTATAAAATGTAAGCACGAAAATTCAACAAATTTAGATTCTAAGTAAAAAATTATAATTTATAAGAAACGTAATATTTTGTAAATATTTATGTAATATGTAAGTATGTAATTATGAGAAAAATGGAAAAGTCAGAGTCCCTATAATATATGTATATAAATGATTAACATGACGAGCTGAGTCGATGTATGTAGCTATGTCCGTCTGTTCGTCGGTGTCTTGTTGAAATATCGTTCTGAAATTTTGTATTCGTCCTCTTCTGCCGAATAAGCATTTCATTTGTCGGAACCGCCGATATCGGACGACTATAGCATATAGCTGTCATACAAACGACATTGGTCAAGGTCAAGTCCTTTTAAAGAAAACTGCTTTTCTAACGTAATTCGGCATGGATCATGGATCTAAATCAACGCTATAATCTTCGATCAAGTTTTTAATATTGGACCAGTATAGAATAAAGCTGCCATATAAACTAAACGATCAAAATCAAGTTTTTGTATGAAAATATTTTTCTTTGTGAAAGGTATTTTTGATGTTTAATATGAAAATCTGGTTAAAAAGTTCTTTATATGTAAGTTTATTACTTATCAATGGAAATAACTTGTTTTCTAACGCTCAATCTGCTAAGACGATTTTAAGGTACTAATTTCCCTATATACATATAAAAAACTGTTTTATTGTTTTTGCATAAAAATTGTAAAGTGATATTTCTTTGCATCTATTTTGTTTATATTAACCATAAAGATATAGCGAAGAATGTGAAAAAATAATATTTGTTTTGGCAATATGAGTGGAGAAATAAATATACACTCTTTTTAAATGAGTGGTTTTACTTCAAAAAAGTGTGTTGTAGATACGAGAATAATCTTCATTGAAATTGAAAGCACATAGAATACGGCTACAGAAATGTAATAAAAAGTAAATGAGTCACAATAATAAGAGCAACACATTTTAATGCGCTTCGCAATGACACCAAACAGTAACGCACAAAGATTTAAAGAACAAAATTTTTTAATAAATATATAAAATAAACACTTTCCCCCGCATTGTTTCACAAAATGTTCTTACCGTAATTGGTTGCAAATCAACACAAGGCAGTGCAGAGGCAAGCCAATCGTTCACGCCGCCAGGAACTGCATCCCAAGCTGTGTGTGGCGAATATAAAGCAATTCCCTCAGCCAAACAAATGGAAACGATGCGCTCTTTCCAGTTACTATAAAAGGGAAATAAATTGTCTTGCAAGCAATATAACAAACATAAAAATTTATATCCACTCACTTTTGTGTAATGCGTTTAAGTGGTGCAAATATTGGTGGATGATAAGACACAATTAGGTCAGTACCTGTATCGACAGCTTCTTGCATGACATTCTCCGTCAAATCATTGGTTAACAGAATGTTGCGTATTTGTCTTCAATATAAATAAATTATATAAATATTGAGTACAAAATATTATATGAAACTCTGTACAATACCTTGCTTTGTAAGGTTCGATCAGGAGACCAACATTGTCCCATTTCTCGGCCAAATTGAGTGGCGCAAACTTATTCAACTCCGATACAACGTTTCGTAGTGTTCTTCCGCGAGTCATTTTGGATAAATTGCGTTTAAAAACTAAAGACGCAGTGCTATTAAGTAGATTGGTAAGCATAAAAATAACTCAACATATGTCGAATTACACTCAAAATTGTTAAAAAATATATACAAATATAATATGTACACGATGATGATATCACTACAAAATAAAAAAGCGGGAGGACAAACAAAAGCAGCTGTTTTGCGTTAGTGATGGTATTAATGCAATATGCAACAATTGGCGACAGATTAATTGTATGACTGCAGAATTATTACAGTAAATAATTTAAATAATTTGTAAGCTAAGGTGGTTCGGTATATTTATATTATATTAATTATTATTAGTATATTTTAGAATTAATTTAATGAAAGCAGCTCTTTGGGCATTTTTTCTTTTTAGAAATATTTTGTTGTATCTAAACCGATATTTTGTTATCGATAAGTATGTATTGCTCTACAAGTTCAATATCCATTTAATATTGCACAATATTATCGACGATTGCCCAGCTATTGTGATTATTAATTTGCCAATCGCAAATGCTAACATTAGAACAGAGAATGTTAATGAATGAAGTAGCAGAGATGTGTTCATTTATGTTTCTGTTAATGATATTCAATTAACATTCTAGAATGTTAATGAATGAATTAGCAGAGAATGTTTTCATTGATGTTTCTGTTAGTGAAATTCAATTAGAATTCTCTGCTCGAGTGTAGGACAATGAAAATTCAAAGAAATTGAAATTATGAAGAGAAACTAAATATTGCACTTGCATGTGCATCTATGAGAATTGTAAATTTTATAATTAAAAATAAAATCTTTAATTCCAACGTTGTAAATATTTAATTTTTAATGCAAAAAGTTCAAACCTGGAAAAAAAATTTAAAATCTAATTTTTAAATAAAAAAAGTTGGGATTAAATTTTATTAAAAAGAAGAGGTTTTAAGCTTAAATTCAAAAATCAACTTTTAGTCCTCGTTTTAGTTAATAAAATGAAAATCTGATAATTTATTTATTTTTTCTGTGTTTGTATGTATGTTCCTGAAATGAACTGTAAATTTAATAGAAAACTCCACATTTTTTTCGTTCTTTTCAAATAATTTTATTAAGTATCATACTTTATTTCAGTTTTCCTTTACGTACATTACAATTTCAAGTATTTTTTAACTTTAACTTAGATAATTATTATATGTATATATTTTAGTCAAACTCTGCTTAATATAACTGCAGCTATTTGGTTTTGTAAATTCTAATAAGATTTTGACAAAAGAATACTTTGGTTATTGCTGTATATAGTTTTTTTTATTAGACTTTCACTTGTTATTGAGTAATTTAAGGCCATATTTTCCAATTCAAGCTCTCCATAATTTATAATAAATACATATATAAAAATTACATGAGCATGCATGTAAAGCAAAAATCGATCGTATAACATCAATATGATTAACACTAACAACTACAAAGCGACATTTAATATTAGTTTTAATTGATCCTTAGAGAATTTCATGAATTTTTAATTAACTTTAGTTTAAGTACTTTAAGTTTGTTTTTATTACCTATTCATTTATAATATTTTATAAGCCACTTTGCGGTTTGAAGGCCACACCCAAACATACATAACTGTAATTCAAGTGTTTGTCATAATTCAAAACCAAACAAAAAAAACTAATTATATTTATAGTTATTTATAATAGTTTGCTTTAATTAAGTATTCTATTAAGTACATATCAATTGTATTGAAGGCATTTTACAGTTATTCGTTGCTTAAACATAACGCTTATTCATATATCATGTATTTAACTATGCTATACTTTAGATTTAAGTCTTTTGTTTTGTCAAGCATAACCTCAAAATTAGGCAAAAGTCTATGAAAACGTGTAAAACTACAATAATTGAGACAATAAATTACTTACATATATGTATATGTATGTATGTATGCATGTATATTATATAATAAGTTTTGCTGAAGATGCAAAAACAATCTCTGCTTTCGATTTTCATGCAGAATATTTTACAATATTTTTTTTTTTTTATATAGAAAAGCTTTGGTATATTTTTTGTGGGGAAATTTCGCACTTTTGTGCTTTAAAGTAGTTAAAATTGCTATAATTACACATATTTATTACAAGTAATGCAAGTAATTATGATGTAAAGCCTAAACGCTAACAGTGCTTATGTATTACTGTTTGACGAGTAGCAACAGTGGTGGCGTATATATAGAGAGAGGTTGCTATAAAATTTTATAGTACATTAAAATCAGTTTGCGATTGCTTTGAATATCAGAGCAGCAGCAACATTTAAGTCTATTTTTCGTTGTTGTATAATAATAAATATGTTTTCGATTATTTTAAGCGCGTTAAAAGTAGTTTGCATGCAAAGATCGAGTGCCAGTTGACTGTTAGTCGTTGCGCCGCCAAAATTTTTCACAGAAAAATGCGCCAAATTGACTTTTCCCAAGCATTTTTGTGCGAAAATAATTTTGAGCGCGCTAAGCCGACTGGCAGAAGATCTTTAATATAATTTTTTTAGTAATTTTCAGAAAATAATTGGTGCATTTATAAAAAATAAAAAAAAAATAAAATAAATAGGTAACAATGGTACTCTTTTTAAAACTAATACATTTTTTTACTACTTTTTAACAGCAGCAAGTTGCGCACAAAAATGCAAAAATGTTTTTGTATTAATAATTAAGTGTTTTGGCGCCAGCTGCCGCCTTGCCGCTTAACGGCACCATATTTATAGCCGACTACCATTTTTACTATGTGAAATATCAACAAATTTTTTGTTGTAATATTTTGTTATAGTTTTGACTAGAAGGAGAGAGCTTTGAGAATACCGAACATTGCTGCAGCCACAGCTGACTCGCAATCGAAAAAGTTATAAGCACTTTCTCGAATTTCCATTAACCCCGACTGCGCTTAGGCAGCCACTGTCGCGGCGGCTTACTTCTCCACACCCAACAGTTTGGCCGCTTCGTCGGGCGACGACAGCAATTTATTGAGTATACCTTGATCGCTAATGCCCAACAGATTGCCGATCAGATCGCTGTGCAGACCGTTCGGTTGTTCTTCGGCAATATTCTCCTTTTGTTCGCCAGCCAAGTGAGCGCTGCGCCATTCGTTGGTTTTGCTCAGCAGCTCCTGTATTTTTGGTGAACGCAGTGTTGCCGCTGTTGCTGTGGTCACCGGTGACGTTGTCGTTGCCGTAGCAGCGCTGGTGCAGGCTGATGAAGTTCTAGTTGTAGACGTTGGTGTCGGTATTTGTTCGTCGTCCGAAAAATCCGAGCCACTGTTACCCATTGGCGAGGCACCATCGCTGCCGGCGGCGCCATTTTGACCGCGACTTGTGTGTTTTTTCATGTGTCGCAGCATGCTGTGCTTCAGCGTGAATTTGCGCAAACAGATTTCGCATTGAAAGGGACGTTCGCCTGAGTGTGTGCGCATATGTCGGCGCAAGTCCTCGGTGG